GGCACCCCGGTCCAGCAACGACCAACGACCGACGACGACGACGACGACGACGACGACGACGACGACGACAACGACGACGACGACGATGACGACGACGACGACGACACGAAAACGGCGCCGGAACTCCAGGCAATTTTCAATCGGCACCCCGGTCCGTCAACGACCAACGACCGACGACGACGACGACGATGACGACGACGACGACAACGACGACGACGCCGACGACGATGACGACGACAACGAAACGAAAACGGCGCCGGAGCTCCAGGCAATTTTCACTCGGCACCCCGGTCCAGCAACGACCGACGACCGACGACGACGACGACGACGACGACGACGACGGTGATGACGACGACGACGACACGAAAACGGCGCCGGAACTCCAGGCAATTTTCACTCGACACTTGCCTCTGCTTGAGCACGAGTCGCACAGTTGAAGAGGAGGAGGCGGGAGGAGAAGGATGTGGAGGATGATGAGAAACAGCAGGAAGAGGGAGACGATTCACTATGCTATTGATATTTTTTCGGCCCCAGCTCGCAGAGATGCGCGACTCAGAGATCAGAGACATGTGGTGCGACCCGTGTTCACGGCGCGAGCCCGGGTATTCTGCCTGTGTCCCTTGCGCTGGCAAAGCCTGGCTCTGGGACACAGGCAGGGCATGTGTGAACATGCGTGCGGCACCGGACATGGAGGCGGCACCGGCCGAAGGTCCGGGCGGAGTGTCTGAAGGCAGAACCGCGATGGGTTGCGGTCCGACGGCGACGACGACCACGACGCCGATGGTCATGGCTGATCATGGCCCCCAAGACCCTCGAAGGATGAGGAAGCTGATATGGGGAGGAGGAGGAGGGAAAACGAGAGATCCAGAACCGAGGGGTGCGTGGTGGAGGAGAACCTGAGAGAAGACCTCATTTGCTGTCTTATTCGGTCCCACTACCGATCTCACAATGGATATCACTATCGACGTCATCATCATCATCGACATCACCATTAACATCATCATCAGCATCTTCATCATCATCAACGTCGTCATCATCATCATCACAATCATCATCACCATCATGGCCATCATCACCATCAGCATCGCACAATCGATCTCGCATTCGGTCTCACTATCGGACTCTAATCATCGGGGCACCATCATCATCATCATCATCAGCACCACCATCATCAACATCATCGTCATCGGGACACCATCATCATCAACATCATCAACGTCTTCATCATCATCACCACCATCATCATCACCATCATAACCATCATCACCATCATCATTTCACAATCGATATGACTATCGATTTCACAATCGATCTCACATTCGGTCTCACTATCGATATCACAATCGATCTCACAATCGACGTCATCATCATCATCACCATCAACATCGACATCATCATCATCATCATCATCATCATCATCATCATCATCATCATCATCGCCATCATCAACATCATCATCATCATGATCATCATCACCGTCATGATCACCACCATCATCACCATCATCATCATCATCATCATCATCATCATCATCATCATCATCATCATCATCATCATCATAATCATCCACATCATCATCGGGACACCGACGGGACACCGACGGGACACCGGCGGGACTCCGGCGGGGCACCGCGCGCCACCGGCCGCCCGGAAGAGACACATTTGGTCCGGCCGCGCCTCAGCCACGGGGACACCGACGGGGCACCGGCGGGACACCGGCGGGACACCGCGCGCCATTGGCCGCCTGGAAGAGACACATTTGGTCCGGCCGCGCCTCAGCCACAGGGACACCGACGGGACACCAGCGGGACACCGGCGGGACACCGCGCGCCATTGGCCGCCCGGAAGAGACACATTTGGTCCGGCCGCGCCTCAGCCACAGGGACACCGACGGGACACCAGCGGGGCGCCGGCGGGACACCGCGCGCCACCGGCCGCCCGGAAGAGACACATTTGGTCCGGCCGCGCTTCAGCCACAGGAGACTTTAATCTCGCCCGCCCACGCAGGTTCGCCTCGCCCGCGCGCACGGCACGCACGAACACGAAACCGAAATCGATGTCCCGGTAGGGGGGTTCACCGTTCCACTTCGATTTCACCCCCACACCTCCGATATGCACATGTTTATATACCTATACGACCACCCTTCGGGTGATAAGATAAGGAGGTTCGGGGGGGGAGGAACCAACGTCTCACTCGATCGGTCTCACTATCGATCTCACTATCGATCTCAGTATCGGTCTCGCTCGATCGATCTCCCTCGATCGATCTCACAATCGATTTCACAATCGATCTCACTCGATCTCACTCGATCTAGCTCACACTCGATCTCACTCGATCATCATCATCATCGTCCTCATCATCATCAGCATCATCATCACCATCATCATCATCAGCATCAACATCCGCATCAGCATCATCAGCAACATCATCATCAGCATCACCATCATCATCATCATCATCATCATCATCATCATCATCATCATCAGCATCATCATCATCATCATCATCTCATCATCAACATCATCATCATCATCATCATCATCATCATCATCATCATCATCATCATCATCATAGCGGGACACCGCGGGACACCGGCGGGACACCGCGGGGCACCGCGGGACACCGCGGGACACCGCGGGACACCGACGGGACACCGGCGGGACACCGGCGGGACACCGCGCGCCACCGGCCGCCCGGGGGAGAATCATTTGGTCCGGCCGCGCCTCAGCCACAGGAGACTTTCCTCTCGCCCGCCCACGCAGGTTCGCCTCGCCCGCACGGCACGCACGAACACGAAACCGAAATCGATATCCCGGTAGGGGGGCTTTCCGTTCCACTTCGATCTCACCCCTTCACCTCCGATATACACATGTGAGTGCACACATGTAGTCTGTAAGCGCTGCTTGCACCTGGGTGTCCCAATTTCTAAAGGAACGGGCCCGTCTGCGGGCCTGACGGCCCCGTCCTCGTCCGTCGCCGCCGCATCTTTTCCGGTAGAAGTCCCGTCAGCAGGCCCAGCGGCCCCTTTCCCGTCCGTCGACACACCACACCGTCTACACCACGCAGACGGTAGAATGCACCACGTCGATCGTCCCTCCCCCGCATAGATTCTCCTTTCTAAGAAGAGAGAGAATAGACTCTACCCCCCCGGACTTACCGGTTCCCTTTCGGATAGTACAATTATATATATATATATATATATATATATATATACATTCTGCACGCTCGTCCATCCTGAATATGAAATCGTATCATCCCAGCCAATCCGGTTTCCCCCCCAACTGAGGTTCCCTTTTTTTAATTAAAAAAGAAAAAAAAACATTATGCGGTGACATTTTTTGTTCAAGCATAACACTTTTTCGCGAATCCCTTGCAACAAAATGAGACGAAGTGCACACGCGCGCGTCGTCGCGCGCGCATGTCGAAATCCTTCAAAAACCTTCGGTGCGGGAAGGATTTCGCAATCGAGTTTCCGAAAAACATACAACAACACAGGGTTTCGCAACACAGAGTTGCTAAAACAACTTCCGCGAAAGCTCTTGCGATATCTTAAGACAAACATAGGTTTTTTTTTTTTCGAGATTTTCACAAAAAAGCTACCAAACGGGCTTCGCGCGCGCTCATGTCGAAATCTGTCGAACGCCCTTGCGCGTGTGCCGTCGCGGGAATCCCCTGCAAAAAATAGGACGAAGTGCAGACGCGCGCGTCGTCGCGCGCGTATGCCGAAAACCTTCAAAACCCATCGGTTTCAGAAGGATTTCAAAATCGTGTGTCCAAAAACCCTACAAAAACACAAGGTTTCGCAACACGGATTTTCAACAAAAACGTGCGCGCGCGCTCTTGCGTCGTCGTCGTCGTCGTCGTCGCCGTCCTCCCTCCTCCCGCGTCGTTGTCGTCGTCGTCGTCGCCTACGTCGTCCTCTGTCTTTCCTCGTGTTCGTCGTCGTCGTCCTCTTTGGCGTCGTGGTCGTTTCCGTCGTCGTTGTCGCCGTGGTCGTCCTTCCTCCTCCTCCCTCGTCGTCGTCGTCGTCCGTCGTCGGCGTCTCGTCGTCGTCCCTCCTATTTCGTCGCCGTCGTCGTCGTCGTCGTCGTCGTTGTCGTCGTCGTCGTCGTCTTCCCTCCTCCCTCGTCGTTGCCGTCGTCGTCGTCGTCGGTGTCGTCGTCGTCGTCGTTGTCGGCGTCGTCGAAGTCGTTGGAGACGTCGTCGGTGTCGTCGTAGTCGTTGTCGGCGGCGTCGTCATCGTCGTTGTCGCTATGGTCGTCGGCGTCGCTGTTGTTGCCAAGTGCCATGTGGTACCCACCGTCACGGTCTTAAGAGATTTTGCAAACCAAGTTGCGGGTGGGAGGGTGGGATGTTTGCGCGAGCAGTGGAGTGGACAACTCACTGCGAACATAAATTATTTGCACACCATAGCTTGCACCACGTCGATTGCACAGCATATCCTACATCACACAGCTTGCATCACGTCGATTGCACCACATAGCTTACACCGCGTTGCTTGCACCACTTCGCTGGCAACACGCTGATTGCATCACATAGCTTATATCACACAGTTTACACAACGGATATTACAACACATATATTGCACCACATAGCTTAACTTACATACCCTGCATTAAAGCGTCTAGCGCATCACGCTTACAACATAGCTTACACCGCGTAGTTTGCACTACTTCACTTGCAACACGCTGATTGAGCAACATAGCCTACACCACATAGGTTGTTCCTCGTAGTTTACATCACGTAGCTTGACGTCAAAGCTTACACCATACATACGCATTTCATCACATAGCTTGTACCACATAGCTTGCACATCCAAAATGTAGTAATTTACGAGTCTACGCTGGCAATCATATATCACATTCTTCCATATTTTTACACCCTGGAGTGAGTGGGATCCTCCGGGTCCCCAAAGGTCCCCTGCATGGAGTCCCTTGGATACCCTTGTAAAGGGTTCCCGGGGACATCTGGGCCTCCAAGATGTCCCTGCCAGGCCCAGTCAGCGGGCCCGAAGCGTCAGGAGACCCATCCGGGCGTCCTCCCACGGTGTAACCACCTTGCACGCACCAGAATTGCGGATTGTTGAATTGCGCGGCACTGGCAAAGCCTGGTGCGACCTTGCGAAGGCACCACTGCGTTCTGCACCTATCCAGCTCCACCACCTCGCCAGAGTGGTGATTCACCAACCCCACCAGCGCTTTCGATGGTCCTTCGTCGTCCTCCAGCTGGTTCGGTGAAAACTTCTGCGCTGCCTTGTCCGGGAGCTCCTGCAACAACATCTGGTAACGCTCCCACCCGCAGCGCGAGCATGCGCAAGCGGCCTTCCTGTCCCGGCACGTTTGAAGGTGGCCGCGACAGCTCCTTGACGCGGAGAGTTCTCTTAGACGCCGCATTCAAGAACTCGTTCAGGGCCATGGGCTCCGAGCCGGCACCGATCAGCTTGACGTAGTCCAGTTCACGGCCGACGAACATGTCCCGCGTGTCCAGGCCACGAACACCCGTCCTTCGACGCTCCTCGTGTTTTTCCCAAGCCTCGCGGCGCATCCTGTCGATGTTGTCCTGCACCTCGGGATCGTCACGTTCATCGACGACGGGGTACCGCACGTGCTCCACAGCGCGAAGCTTCATAGCACGAACATCGTCCAGGGCAGCGTTGCCGGCCATCGGCTGACCCTGCACAACCTTCAAGAAGTCCGGGATGGGAGGACCTTCTGCGCCCAGTGCGGCCCAGACCTCCCTAGACTCACGGACGGCGGCCGGGTCCCCATCCGGCTCCCCGGCCAGCTCCTCACGCAGGTGGTCCGTGATCTCGAACCGGCCCACGTCCGCCGCATCCTCTCCCCAATCGGCGTCGAGGTCCTGCCCTGGCGGCGCGTTCTCCATCCTCCTCGTCCTCGTCCTCGTTCTCCTGCCCCTGGGTCGTCGGGCTGGCAAAGCCTGGCCCCGGCCGCTGAGCTTCGCCTGCCACTGCCTCCTCCTCGCGCGCTGGCTTTGGAAGCTTCTCCACGATCTCCAGGAAGCGTTCGAACTCCGTACCTAGCATCTCGTACTCGGTGCCGTCCAAATCGCGCCCCTCGGGCAAAACGCCCGAGATGCGCTCGAGCCCCTTGAGCAGAAGCTCCCGGGCATCTTGCAGCGAGGCTATGCTCCCGTCCCGCTCAGACGCTTTCAGCTCCTTGAGCCCAGCTTCGCTGTAGTTGAGGCCCTCTGGGCAGGAGACCTGACGCGCCCGTCCGCTCAGGTTGTGTCGAGCGATCCTGAGCGTAGCCGGCAAGGTTGTGTCGAGGCCCCCGGGCACCGCGGGAGCGTCCTGCAAAGGAAACGGGAACGTCGCGCTGCCACTCCGCCCTGTTGCAAGGTCCGCCGCTTTACTCTTCTTTGCAGGCGGCGCGGTCGTGCCACCCTGACTCATTGAGGCCTCCACCCCCGCGGAACTGGCAAAGCCTGGCTCAAGCGGGACCTCCTGGCCACCCTGACTCAATGAGGCCTCCACCCCCGCAGAGCTGGCAAAGCCTGGCTCAAGCGGGACCCCCTCCAGGCCCTCTGGCAGCACGTCGGCCTCCCAGGTGCCGTGTCTCGTCAGGCAGGCCTTGCAGTAGTCGCGGGCATGCTGTGGGAGCAGCTCCCTGCCCTTGACGGCGTGCAAGAGCACGCACCACGCCGCCGCGTGATGCCGTTTGGGGGGGTCCTTGAACATGGCTGTCTCCGTGTAAGGGCGGCCCTCCATGTCCGCCATGTGGTTGTTCCGCGTGAGCTCGAACTCCAGAGCCAGATTCGGCTCGCGGTGCAGGCGGACGTTCAGGCTCCGCTCGCAGATGTGGTTGCCTCGATTGCCCTGCGAGGTCTTGGTGCTCTTGTCCACGACCTGAGGATCACCCTCGTACCCGCCCTCGCCCCGGAGACCCCCTCCTCTTAGGCGGCCAAGCCTGGCGCAAAGCCCACCGGCCCTTCCTCTTCCACCCCCTTTTCGACCCTTCCCGTCCCTCGTCTCAGGGTGTTTCCTCTCCCATCTCTCCTTCGCCCCCTTCGGGGAGGGGTTGACCTCTCCCCCTTACCTCATCCCCTGGATCTGGACGGGGAGGTTCGGGAGGCGTTGGAGCGTCCAAGATGGCCCAAGACGGCTCCAAGAGAGTGTCGGGGAATTCAAGATGGCCTCCAAGATGGCTCAAGATAGCCCAAGATGCTTCAAGATGGCTCCTCCCGAGGAGGCCCCCCAAGACTCTCCGAACCCCAAACTGGCGAACCCGAACCCCGAGTGGCCACAAAGATCTTTGGAAGCACACAGACCTTGAGCACCCCGGGTGCTGCCAGCAAGTTCGCCTTGAACTCCTCCCGGGTCAGCAGGCGGTCAGGATGGAGCTCCACCAAGCCTGACCAGGAATCGCCCTTGTATCCGTATTGTTGCCTGAGTCTGCGCGAGCCCGGGTATGCTGCCTGTGTCCCTGGCGCTCGCAAAGCCTGGCCCTGGGACAGGCAGGGCATGTCTGAGCATGCGGGCGGCACCGGCCATGCGAGCGGCAGCGGCCGAAGGTCAGAACGAGCCAAAATCGGTGCGGGAGTGGCGCGGCAAGGCCGAAGTACCCTGCTTGAGCCGAACCCGCCAAGCGGAAAGCTTCGGCGTACTCCTTGCTCTCCCCTTTCTCAGATGAGACGGGCCCGAACCCGAACAGGGCCCCCAGAGACCATGATCAAGAAACGGGGGCCTCGATCTCACTATCGATCGCACTCGATCGATTTCACTCAATCAATATCACTATCTCACAATCGATCTCATCATCGATCTCACTCGGCCTCACTATCGATATCACCGTCGATCTCGCAATCGATCTCATTATCGATCTCATTATCGGTTCCACTATCGATCTCACTTTCGGCCTCACTCAATCGATCTCACTGGCGATGTCACCATCGATCTCACACTCGATCTCACCATCGATCCCACACCCGATCATCATCATCACCATCACCATCATCATCATCATCATCTTCAGCACCATCATCATCATCACCATCACCACTATCATCAACAACAACAACATCATCATCATCATCATCATCATCATCATCATCATCATCATCATCATCATCATCATCGGGACACCGACGGGACACCGACGGGACACGTGCGGGACACCGGCGGGACACCGCGGGGCCCCGCGCTCCGGAGGGGAGTCATTTGGTCCGGCCGCGCCTCAGCGACACGGGACACGGGCGGGACACCGGCGGGACACCGCGGGGCCCCGCGCCCCGGAGGGGAGTCATTTGGTCCAGCCGCGCTTCAGCGACAGGAAACGTTTTCTCGCCCGCCCACGCAGCTTCGCCTCGCCCGCACGCACGGCACGCACGAACACGAAACCGAAATTGATTTCTCGGTAGGGGGGCTCTCCGTTCCACTTCGATATCACCTCCAACCTCCGATAACGGCGATGCCGGAAAAGGCAACAAGGAGTTATCGCTAAATTGTCGGCTTGACCTTTCTGCCATTCCGCCTGTATACCAAACTTCAAGGACCAAGGTGCGCGAAACGCCACTGCAGTCTTGTGTGTATATACATGTATATATATATATGTGTATACATAGAGTTACAGTAAGGTGAGTTATGTATATGCATGTATACATAAACTTGTACATAAACATAAACATATACATATACACATACATATACATATGCATATACATATACATATACCTATACATATACTTACATATAGAATTCACGTGATGACGTATCAGTCCAGTTGTTTTGTCAATCGTTGTCCCTCTTGCTCTGTCTCTCTTGTTCCACCCTCACATTAAAATGTATTGTATCGTCCTCTCCCTTAAGTTATGATTGTTTTCTCTCCTTCTCTCTCTCTCTATCGCTCTTTCTCTCTCTCTCTCTCTCTTTCTGTCTCCCTCTCTCTACAGTTCTGCAAAGTGTCATTATCTCTCTCTCTCTCTCTTTGTCACTTTCTCTCTCTCTCTGTCATTTTTTTTTTCTCTCTCTCTCTCTCTCTCTCTCTTTCTCTCTCTCTCTCTCTTTCCACCGTCGCCCCTTTCGCGCGCATCGGACGGCATCTCCCTACACCTCCTTCTCCTCCTCCTCCTTCTTCCTCCTCGTCCTCTTCCCTCGTCCTCCTGTTCCCCTTCTTAACCTCCTCCTTGCCAGCCTCCTCGCCCTTCTTTTCCTCCTCGTCCTCTTCCCTCTTCCTCCTCCCCCCTTCTCGCCCGAAGTGTTCATCTCATCTCATCCCCCCATTTTTCCCTTCCTCCCTGTCCTCGTCGCCGTCGTCACCCTCCTCTTTTCCGCTTCGGTGAACACCCGAGTCGAGGCCATTCAGGATTCGCTCTGCAGCGAATGTCGCGAAGACGCTGGCACTGATCTAAGCATCTAGCTCAGGACGAGTGGAGGGAGGGAGTGAGGCAGGGAGGGAGGGAGGACGAGGAGGACGCGAGCCTTGAGAGAGAAGGACCAGAAAGGAGGGAGCAGGAGGAGGCTGATCTTGGGGAACAGGAAGACAGGATGAGCAGAAGGCGCTAGAAGGGAGAGGGTGGTGGTAGGGCGGAGGCTCATCGTACATTTGCTCTTGCGACCCGCGGGTACGTCCAGGTTGCGCCATACCCCTGGCCGACTCTGCTTTTCCGTCGGCCAATCTGCCTGCGCTTCCCGCGCGCACCTGCGGGCCTCTCAAGGACCGAGCGCGACTTGCTCGTCGAGCCAGACCTCCCGCGCCGTGCCTTTTTCAATCCCGACTCTCTCGGCCTCGGAGGGGGGCGCTTCGGGCCCGGAACCGACCACGTCTGCCCAGGGCCGGCGGGCTTCGCCGCCAGCTCTGGCACGCCACACCTCGGCGCGACACGCCGACCACGCCCCGGCCCTCGGGCGTCCACGTCCCGAGCCTGTCCCGGGCCCTTCCCCGCCACGCGGACCGGAGCGGCGCACGCTGTCCGCCTGCACGGCACAGCGCGTCGCCGGGGCCGCCCCCGCGACACGGTGCACAAAAGTTCCTCACCGCACCCTGAACTTCTCATGAGTGAAGGGGGGGGGGGAGATAAGTGTGGAAACGCGGTGCGGCCAACACCCGCCCACGGCACGCAACGAACAACTCCAACCCCCCCCGCCACCCCCGCGGACACGCCACGGCCAACTCCCCCGGGCGTTCCAAGGGGGGGCGATTCTTAAAGGATTCAGAGTACCCATTGACAAGGCAGCGCTACATCCGAAGCCAGGGAGTCTAGAGTAGGAGCTAAATGCACAAGCCAGCAAAGCAAAGGCTTCAGCAGGCTGCACCAGCTCTGGTCCGACCTTGTAATACTTGTCAGACTGCGACTCGCTTCTCAGAGAAATGAGGCGGGACGCGCACGAGGTCTCGCGCGTGTGTGGCGTTCATGCTTGTCTTTCAAGGTCGCTTTCTCATCGTTGCGGTTGCTGCACGTCTGAGCTGCCGCACCGCCCGCTTCGCATTCTTCTCCTGCTCGCTCACTGCAGCCTCCATCTCTCAACCCGCGTCGTTCCCCTCCCCGCTCTCGGCTCTTCCCCGCCGTTCCGCATCGTTCAGCCTTCGGCTCCTCTTCGACCCCCGTCGATCCCTGGCGCCCTGTCCCCCCAGGCCACCAAGGCCCCACGCCCACCCAGCCGCTGGCGGCTTCCCCTCCCCGCCTTCCGCTCGGAGGGGGCGAAGGGTCGGGGATGTTTCCCAGCCTGGGCTGAAGGCACCTGAGCGACGCAAGACAACAAGGGCGTTTGCGCCGACACTGGCGCGTAAGCTGCCCGCGTAAGGTCGCGCGTAAGCACCTGCTTCTACAAAGTAGCGTGCCGCGCTGGCGGCCCGCGTAAGCCACCGCGTAAGGGTCGCTACGTCATCTCGCGCAAGAACCATTTTTGATCCTCGCTCACCTGGTTTCCGACATTCGGCTGCTTCCTCGTCCTTCCTCGGACGGAGCTAGGACGAGAATGAATCCGTTCTCGAGCGTTCTGGAACGCCCTAGGAGTCCGCCCCAGGACGCTCTGAGAAGGCCGCGGCGCCCGATACATCCTCCAGAGCCGCCAGATCTCAGAGATTGATTCTTGATTGAACCCCTCCCGGTGTTTGCCCCGCCCTGGTCTTGTCTTATTGCCCTCTTCTCCTCTGCACGCCGTGCTGGGCCAAGACGCCGCCCCGTCCTCGCGGCCGCTCCGGCCCGCGCAGGCCCTGCGCGCCCTGCCAGCGCGCCGCGCGGCGCCGCGGGTGCCCGGGCCGATGGAGCCGGAAGGCCGGGAGCCCGGGCGGGAGGGCCCGAAGGTGAGGTTCGCGTCGGTGGCCTCGGGCGAGGTCCCCGCGAGGGTGCCCAGCAAAGGCACGTGCTCGTCGGGCAGCGACGCGCCCGAGAACCTGCCGGCGTCGGCGCAGTCGCGCCGGTCCCTGGCGTCCTGCCAGAGCAGGTGGAGCAGCCACAGCACGCCCAGGGCAGCGATGAGGAGCGCCGACGGCGGCGAGGAGGAGGAGGAGGAGGAGGAGGAGGAGGAGGAGGAGGAGGAGGAGGAGGAGGAGGAGGAGGAGCGAGGAGGAGGAGGAGGAGGGGGGAGGAGGAGGAGGAGGAGCGAGGAGGGGGAGGAGCAGGAGGAGGAGGAGGAGGCACCCGACGTCGGGGCCCACTGGCAAGAGCGTGGCGGAGGTGCTTCGTATAGCACGCTCGCCGTCGGGGGGCCGCCACGAGGCGACGCGCCAGACGTTTGGGGCGAGCCGCCCCTGAGAGGTCCTGGCGCTGCAGTGTCTTCACAGCGGGCGTCTTTGCTCGGATGTCTCGGGCCCGGTGCCCTCACGGATCGATCGGGCTCGAAGGGTGACGCGTGAGGACGGGCCCGGGGGGTCCGGGCGAGGTGTCTTGCGGCGCTGCAGTGTTTTGCAACGTCGGGTCTCGGGGGCGGTCCACGGAAAAAGTTGGCCAGAGTGGTCTGGGGGGGCCCTCCTTCGAAAGGTCAGGACATCGGAGGTCTGGGCACGACGACGAGTCTTACAACGGCGATGGCGGCGGCGGCGGCGGCGGTGAGGAAGCGCCAGAAGAGCGGGGAGACCGAGTGCTCGCGCCCGACCTACCACAACGGGTGGATCCCCGAGTCGGCCCAGGAGTTCGTCGAGCGGGCAAAGGAGCCC